CGGCGTGAGTTTTAAGCCACCGGGTCCGGGACACGAACCACAGTCGACTACGTGGGAGTCCTTCGACATAGCCATTACGCTAACTGCTGGTTCCCCTGTTAGTTTTTCAAAGGGTGAAATTAGTTGTCTTTAGGGGCCCAGCAGATGGCATGGTGGTTGAGGTGCTGGACTCCCACATGGTTGACCATGGTTTGAGTACCAGACCTGGTGACTTGCTTTCTTACTTTCTCTCTCTCTCTCACTCTCTCTCTCTCTGGCAAGCATACATGCCCTATAGCAAATTAAGATAAATGAATAAGTAAACTTAAAAAAATTATTTGCCTTTCTCATAGTATCAACTTTTTGGCTCTTTCTGGAAGACCTTTAGATTATTTCCTTTTTTTTTTTTTTGGAGAAGTTTTCGCTATAGGGCATGTGCGCTCGTCAGACAGACAGAGAGACAGAGACAGAAAGCGAGAAATCACCCCCCCGGGGGGATGGCCACGCTGCAATCCCTTCTCCTCCATTCTCCTCTCGGGATCTTTGGCATGCACGCACATGCACCCAGCGCAAATTTAAAGCCACCGGGTCTGGGACGCGAACCGCGGTCGACTATGTGGGAGTCCAGCGACATAGCCATTACGCTAACTGCTGGTCCCTAGATTATTTCTAATTTAGCAGTGTATGGTCCTATAGCAAGCATCATAAACAGATTAAACATCTCTATCCAGATTCACATTGTCTTCTGAAAAGAAAGTTCCCCAAAGCTAAACTTACCGAATCAACATTTTCAAGTACATCCAGAATAAGATAGACCAAAGGTCTAAGCAAAAATGAAATATTTGTAACACTTCCTACTGATTTTGTTTTTCTTCAAATTGAATGTGTTTGAGTTTCAAGGAGATTGTAGTTATAGAAGATGAAACACTGGGTTGATCCATTCACATAAATCTTTGAGGTATCTCTCTCTTAAATGGTAAGCCTTCATTTCTTCTTAGACAATATGTATTCCATAATCTGGTCTGCCATCTCCCTTTTGTCTTCCAATCCCTGTTACTTCCCATAATTTCCCACTGCATTCTATTTCTATTTCTCAAGGTCCTTTTTTCTCCTCATGTCCCCCCAACTCTAAGCTTGCACTGCTGCATTCAACACGTGTGCTCATGAAGACAATCCTCCTAGGACACTGGTTAGAAGAGCATAGGGTCTGGGGCCCATGTACTTGGTTTCAAAGCCCAGCTCTGCCATAATTGGCTATGTTACCTTTTCCAAGTTACTTAATTTCTCTGTATCTCAGTTTTCTTACTTGTAAAAGAAAGTGTTAGTAGTATCTACTTTTTAGAGTTGCTGGTTTCTAGAGGACTAATGAGATAATGTTCCAAAAGCTCTTGGCAAAGTCACTGGCACATAGCTCTCAGTAACTGGGAGCTTTTATTATTAATACCATCTTTCAGTAGGGGCTTTATTTGGTGAGCTACCAAGGTCACAAGTGAATTCTGGTACTTTACTTCTTCCCAAAAGTGAAAAGGCACAGGAGAGACTCAAGACTCAAGAACTAAAGGGAGGAAGAGACCTATGATGATGCTAGGATATGAAAAGCATTGAGAACTAAAGCTCTGTTTCTTATTCAGTCCATCCCCTCGCCCCTCCACAGAAATTCGTATAAAGAGCTTTAGCGCCTTTAAGCCCTCAGGCTCAGAATATGGCCACACTTTCTGGATAAGCCATGCTGTATTCAGAATTGCTGTTGACCAGAATTCAATACGTCCTTGTAAGCTATATCATAATGCAGCAAAACATCAGAAGCAGAAAAAAAAATCATGCAACTTCTTTTTTAACAGGTTGTGGAAACTGTGAAACTGTTATACTGAGGAAGAAATAGACTTTACTCACCTGCAGGAGTTGACTTGGCTGATTAAGGTTTGTCCCTTTTGCAAAGCATCAGCTGTGCAGTCTTTAATTTCCCTGTGTAATTGCTCATGCCTTGCTGCCAAGACAGACAGACTTAAACCCTCAGATTTAAGGAGCTTAAGGTAAGCTTCAACTCTTCCAAGTACATCAAATGCCTGCCAAAGAAAACATACTTTCATTTTCTGCTTTTCTAGTTTAAAATCTAACATCAATGTGCACACGAAGCACTAGTGACTAAACTAATGTATTAGTTTGGTCATAATGAAAACTAATCTTAGTCTCAAAAAACAGCTGTATAATTTTAAGTGTTTTGTTTAAGGAAACTGATTACAGCTTAGTTCAGCCCCATAAAATTACCAAAGTAGCTTATATGGAGAATGTATAACACAAACAATTATAACTGAATAGAACTTGGAGAGTTTGGTTCATTTCTTGCACAGTTTATATTGTATACAAAAATGAGCAAGCTGTTTTAAAAATATTGTGCAGTGTGGCCAGCAGGTGGTGTGATGGTTAAGGTTCTCGATTCTCACATGGTTGACTGAAGTTCAAGTCCTTGACCTGGTGACTTGTTGAACCTCTCTCTATCTCTGGTCAAATTTTAAAAATGGTAATAATAGTGATGAATAAATTAAATTAAGTAATTCTTTAATATTGTGCATCCTTTCATCAAGTAAATGTCTGAATATTCTTAAAAGGAGATTCTCCCCAAAATTCTACTTTGTTCTGAAACTATAGGGAAATATTTGAGAAATTACTAATGTACTTTTCTCTCTTGCCTTTTTAAGACCTCCAGTCTACTCCATCCAAGACATCCATCTGTCTATGAGGAGATTAGAATTTGGTTCTGAAGCAGGGCAAAGAGGAAAACGAAGGCACTATTTGACTTCTGACATGCAAAACAGGATTACGAAGATAAAACAGAGGCTTACAAATGAAAATATTTTCTTGAGAGAAGTTTTTTTTTAATTTCTTTATTTTCTTTCTTGATTAGTAGATCAGCAACCTAGCATGAAGGATTAAGTTTATGGAATTCACATAGAGAAGAGAGAAACCATTGATGTGGCCATTAAGACTTTGTTGGCCTTGAGATGGAGGAATACATGATAAAAAGGCAATACAAGAAGACCATGGTGATACAAGGGGAAAAAAGGAGAAAGCAGAGAGCACAGTTTAATGAAAACCAACTATGTCCCTGCTTCTGTACTGTGTATTGCACAATTACTTCTCATTCAGTCAACAAATATTGAATGCCAATGGCGTTCCAGGTGCACTGTCCTTAACAGCCCTAAGTGGGAGCAAGAAATGATCAACATTATATGACTGGAAAAACTTGGGAGAGGTTAAATAAGTTGCACAAAGGGGTACTTCTACTAATAGATTTGGAACTTAAATCTAATTTTCTGGCCATGAGGCCTCTGCTCTTAAACACTGGGCTATGGTGCCATGTGGCAAAGGATTAGTATGGGATGCTTAAGAGGAGATAGTTCAGAAAAACCTGTAATCCTGGTTGGAAAAGGTGGGATTTAAAAACATACTTTTTGTACATGTGTCTGCCTTCTTTCTCACACATGAGAAAAATACAGGGAAAGTTGAGAGATTTCTTATATACTTAGAACTATCAAAGGAAGAAAGCATTCTTAAAGAAATTTGGAACCTGACGAACTCTTTCTTATCTAATCATTTTTTCCTGCTATTGACAATGAAGCCAAATGCAACAAGATGATTATGTTAGAAAAGAAGGGGCCAGTGGGTGGCACAGTGATTAAGGCTCTGGATCCCATATGGCCGACTCCGCAGTTTGAGTCTTGAACCCACTAGCTTGAAAATCACATTGTGTGTGTGTATATATATGTGTGTGTGTGTGTGTGTGTGTGTGTGTGTGTGTTCCCAAAATCCCAAGAATGGGATGGGAGAGAAGGACTTGCAGCATAACCACCCCCCCATGGGTAGGGGTTGATTTCCCACTTTCCTTCTCTCTTTCTCTCTCTGGTGAGGACACACCCCACGGCAAAAATCTAAAGTAAGAAAAAAGAAAAGAAAAGAAAATGATTTGATGACTTTTACAACGCTTATATAACTTATTAAAACATTGTTTGACAATAACCACTATTCCTGGAATTTTGTTTTATATTTTAAGTTTTTTTATTGCTTATTTCAAATAGAGTCCCATGTTAATTGAGAATTAGTTTTAAAAACATGCCTCAAGCAAAACTCTGGTATAGTCAAAATTACTTGGAGGTCTTTTAAATTATGCTTAAAGTTTAATGTATGTGAATTAGAACTTATACTGATACAAACTTACATTTAGGATGGAGAACTCCTAGCCACACTGAAGTAAAAAATAAAGGAAGAGTGTATATGTAACTATCAGGGCATTCTCTCCTTTCTTCCTTTAAGATAATTCACAAGTGCCTAGTGTGGGTGAAATTTGGAGGATTCCAAAGTTTTTCTTGCCTCTAAGTTTAAATCCATTCCAATTAATATTAAACTATTATAGCCTTAATAAATGCTACATTTGCTGTTGTTTTGAGAATTAAGTAGGCATGATGGCAGACATACAGTAATGCTTAGGAAATCTTTGCTTGCTGTTATTCTAAATCCTGATTGATCCAACCCGTCTTTAAAAAGTCACTGAGAAGACCATGACCACCTTCTGCCTGCCATTCATCCCACATGAGACTTTCCTCTTGTGGCCCCAGTGAACAGCTGCCAGCCTCATATTCTCGGGCATTGATGCTAACGCCACACGCTCATGAAATGTATGTGTGATGTCATTCTACTCCACTCCTGAATGTTATTACAAAAGTGTTATTTTCTAATATAAGGAAATAAATCAAAGGGTTAAACATTCACTAGAAAAGATGATATATCAAGGACAAAAATAACCCAGACTTTAAAATCAAAGTAACCAAAATTTCTAACCAGAGCTGTTTTCCTCAAAAAAAAAAAAAAAAATCAGTGTTAGGAAAGCATTTACTTATGAATTGCTTTATGTGTCACCCATACTAGAACTACTGCAGCAGAAAGCAGGTGAGTGATTTTATTTCTTCACTAACTCTACAAATGCACTCTCAGAATATCTACAGTGAAGATGGAGTGGAAGATGTAAGAGAATTTATTCCTACCCTTAACCTTCACCAAATCCTACTGCAGAAGAAAGGAGGTGAGTGATTTTATTTCACTAACTCTACAAATGCACTCTCAGAATATCTACAGTGAAGATGGAGTGGAAGATGTAAGAGAATTTATTCCTACCCTTAACCTTCACCAAATCCTAATAGAAACAATCTGTAGACACAGAAATAAGAGATTTCTAAACTTTAAGAGGAAGCTTATTTTAAAAGATTATACTGTCTGATTGTCTGAATCATATGCAAAACTCATCTTTCTTATTCCCATGCAGAATTTGATGAAGACTCGATGTGCCAATTGTAGGAGTAATCCAAGTATCATTACTCTTACTTCATCTATCCTCCAAAATAGAACCGAGTGCTTCCTATTCACCACATCCATGAGGAATCTGATACGCTGGATCCAGCCTGCAAAGAATCTTTTTGTCATACACATGGTGCAGATCAGGTTATATCTGGTGATTAAAACACTGTAACCTTCACATAAACTCCCTGGAATTAATGTCTCTTCTTTAGTTTCTATCTCCATGTCCCCTCTTCTTTGAACTTTGTATGTGCAGATCAAATAAAGATTTTACGAGTGGACTGGGAAAAAGCACATAGGTACGTAGATAGTATTTTCTCCCTCTAGGTTCTAGTTCTTGAGCATTTTATGTAGTGTCATTCCGTTCTTAGATAAGAAAGTGACAAATTAGCTTTTTCTTTTCTTTTCTTTTCTTGGCTTTGTTTTGGAAAAGACTGAGTAGTTGCTAGGTTTTTGTTTCTTAAAAACGTATAAGGATCTTTCCTTTATTTTTTTCTTTTTTCTTTTATTAAGTACAGAATCCAAGGCAGGCTGTTCTGGATGGAGATGGTATCAGGACATGGCACATTTTATTCTTTTAAAAATATCTGCAAGACTAATAATTTAAATAAGAACCATGCATCATCCAGCATAAGTCTTATATCATGCGAGTTCACAGAGATGTTTAATAAGTAATATAATTTGCTTCTTGACTAATTGATTTGAAGAGATTCAACATTAAACAACAATAGCAAACTGCAGAACTTAGAAAATCCTTTTATGGGTATAGAGGCTGAATGGAAAGTTTGCTCAGAAATTTATCGCCACCCAGGACCTACACGGCTTCTAATTAGAGCACTGGATTCCATGCTCTGTAGAGACTCAGATTACTGAGTTCAGATTTTATAAAAACCAAAATCTTTAGTTGCTTCTCCTAAACATCATCTGGCATAACTTCTGTTGGCTCTCAGTCTGGTGAGCTAATTCTTAATTCAGGTACGGTCTCAATCTGCCTAAACTTTCAAATGCCATGAAGGTTAGATGTAGTTTTCAGCTCCTAGTGTTCAGAACTCCCTCCTGTTACCAGGATAATTAGAGGTGCTAATGAGAGGTGCTTCAAGTCTTCAGCTCCTAAAGCAGGTTCTAGCTCAGAATCCAAAAAACTGAAGAACAAAAGAAAAAAAATACTGGAAAAGAAGGAGTTTGGAACTGAAAGCACAGACATCTGAAGTATGTTATCAATAAGTGGAGGAAATTTATATATTGACTATTTCTTACTTTTTTGGAGGCAAAGCCACCTTAGAAATTGAAACTAGATCCATCAGCTAGAACTTTAGGAAACTAGTTATAGGTTATCATTTCTGGTCTCTTTTATCTAAATTGACATAAAAAGATTTTAGAACAACCTTGGGAATAATACAAAAAATGTCCACTTACTATGTGTAAAGCATTAATTTTTTTCACTTATTCAAAAAACATTCATTGAAATCTATGGATGTACGTAGCTACATACTGGGGATATGAAAATAAACAAAAGCATTTAAGTCACATTAGAGCGGCTAGTACAGTATTAAATGCACATATAATGACAAAATAATGGCTAGCACTTAGTGTTTAGCTGTTCCATGTACTAGCCATATATTAACTTATTTAGACAGCACAATGACTCTGTGAGGTACACATAATTATCTTTTCTATTTCACAGATAAAAAATGCCACCTGCACAGGGAGGTAAGTA